ATATATATATACATGATCATGTATGAAATCTTATATGATTATACAAGATTCTATATATGATCACTTATGCTTTTATACATTATGATCATGTTTGAAATCATATATGATCGTATGAAATCTGTATATATGATCAAATATAATTTCATATATGATCATACATAATTAAGTAGTATAAAAAATAATCGAATTTGAAAGCTTGAAAGCCGAAGCTTGCCATTTTTGCATTGAGCCACACAACCCTGACTTTTGTCCTGCCATTTTTGCACTGAGCCACACTCTGACGCTTCTCTGTTGTGCCTATTTCTAAGCCTGTGTTTGGAAAACACCACCTGAATGCTCCCATGCATTTATTTTATTCATTCATTTTATTTATTACTCACCCAATATTAACAAGGATAAGATGATACACAAGGGCACTCGGGTGATGTTTCCCAACGTAGCTTAAATAAATTAAATTTTTTACAGTACTATAATCATGAAAATAAACCACCTATATAAAAATTTATAAAATAGCTATTTTATCTCTTTATTTTATCTCTTTATTTTTACTTATCGATAATTTGTTATACATTTATTTTGTACATTAGTAATAATTCATGTCAACTAAAAAACATAATGAATTATCCGGGAAAAATATTATATATATGAACATCCCAGTAAACACAATGTTACATGATACGTATATGAAACTAACATGAAATGTCAGCTCAATAAGATACCTGTAATATAACACATTGTGTATATTTTCAGAATATTCCATATATATTTCGAATCAGTTTTTAAACAAAATTTTACTTTGAAAACACATTTAACATTGCAATTTGTACATTCTGTTACGATTCTTTTACTAATTCGGAATGTTAATAATATGAATCGAACTTTCTTAATTATATGTGACCATGTGAATATTTAGCATTAGCTGGGGATCGTCCGTGAATTAGTTTTTAAACAAAACATTTTACTTTGGAAAACACATTCATCAATGTAGATTAACTTTAATCTCGGTTCAACTTACTCTTCGTCTTTTTCTAATCTTTAGAATTTTAGCATTAGAAAAAGATGAGGAGTAAGTTGAATCGAGATTAAAGTTTAATCTATCATACATATTGGTGAAAACATTAATGTATTTTCATCTTGGAGTCCAATTTTGGGACTTACTATACAGACGAAGTTCTGCATCCTTTATATTCTCTTAGGTAATTCTTGTTTACGAGAAAAGCCCCGGACACAATGCAAAGAATCTGGTAAACAATTTTTCATGCATGAATATTTATAAATATGTGTAAACATACATAAATATTCATAAACTTGTATAATCATGCATGAAATATGTCCATACATGTTCATATATCCCTTTTTTTTTCGTGAAATTATTTTTTAGTGTAAATAATAATGTGAAAACATTAAAAATAATTGAAAGGATAATTTTCATGCTATTTGTTTTAGAAAAAAAATAAAATTTGAAGAAATGTAAAAAAATTATTTATGTATAATTATATAAAATTATGCATAATTGTGTATGAATAATTTTTTTAATTTTTCCAAACTTGTTTTTTTCAAAACAAACAATGCGAAAATTTTCTCCTTAATTACTTTTAATGTTTTCACATTACTATTATTATTTATTACATTAAAAGTAATTTTACAAAAGAAAAAGAGATGTATGAACATGTATGGACATATTTCGTATATGATACATATTTATAAATATTTATATATGTTTACATATTTATACATATTCATGCATGAAAAATTTTTTACTAGGAAATAGTGGCAGCGATAAAAATAATACAATTTCAATCTATCAGAAATAGAATACAGTAGAATATACAGTTTCTTAAAGAGCCCTATAAATATTCCAATCATAATAATAAAGACAAATTTTTACAATATTTGTTGTATGGTTAATAACATATAAAAGTTTGTTTAATATTAATGTTATTTTATAGATATAGTAAAATTATAATGAAATTTTATCAGTTATTTAAAAGTGCAATGAGGATAGAGTAATGTAGAATTGATAAGAGAATAAAAATTTTAATTTTACGCAATAAAAGAAAATCGCAATAAGAAATTTAAAAAATCATTGGTTACACTAGAAAAATAGTGGAAAATGCATTAAAACTAAAATATAATGAAGATTTCTCGAGATTCTAAGGGAAAAACTATAACTTAAATTGATTGTCAAATTGTATATGTTTCTCTAATAAAACCAAGACACATGAAAATAGAATGCAAAAGATATTAGAGACCAGACTATCGAACCGAACATCGAATTGCGAGCCTGCGTCCACATTCAAAGATCCTACATTCCTTATCCATATTATCGAAATGAATATAGATTCACATCAAATCTGAATGTTGACGAAGGCCAGCTCGCGGTTCGAAGTTCATCTCGATAATCTAGACACACCCTTAGAGCGCAATAAAATTATACGGTATAATTTTAGTACTTAGATTTTATACATATTGTTCGAACATTTCGATTCTTTTTGGAGTTATCATCAATGATATAATATTCTTCTAAAGGTATGATTCTTTTTTCCAATCCTTCTTTCCAATATAGACAGCCATTAACGAATTCAAACTTAAGTGCATGAATTTTGTTATAAATATGATGTTGTAAATATGATAAGTAAGAAATTCTAAAATTGAGACATGCATTATACCAGATTCTTATTTGTATATTTAAGTTAATAATTGGAGAATGATTTACTAAAGGAAGAGAAATGTGTTTTAGTCTTTCAGCTGCGCCTGATTTTAGGGGTCTGTAAGAGGTTGGAGATAACTTTAAAACGCATCTAAAGAGAATTGTCGGGTCTCGTACATTTTCTCGGAACGAATTTGCGACATTTCTTGTCAAATAGAAGTGTTTCTTAATTCACATCTTATTGTGCTTAACGATGACCTAATTAGTGATTTGTTCGTGCTCATTTTGGGCTATTTTTTGATAAGTTGCGATCACTCGTAGCTGTCCCGGAAGAATTCGTGTACAATCGATTCGAATAAACTTTCGCGATCTAATCTTGCTGTCAGTGCTCGTGAAAAGTTTACTGTTTACCATTTTTAGAATTCGTCATATATGTAAATTCTGAAATATTCTAGGGTTCCTAAAATTCTTCATTTCATAATCTAAGAAGACATATAAAATTTAAAAAAGTTTATCTTATATTTTTTCAGAAATTGTAAAATGAGAATTTTTTAAATATTTCAAAATTTTGTATATATATGAAAACTTCTAAGAGAAAATAAAAAAAGTTTTTTACAAAGGAAATTACTACAGGGAAAATACATATAGTTTTGACGATATTCGCTCCCAAAGAAAAAAAATGATTTTCCAAGAAAGTTTTATTCCTAACAACCATAATTTTCAAGATAATAGTAAAAATTAATTGAGCTCTTCATATTAAAAATAATATTACAAAAACTAGGCAACTAAGAGTTAATATAGTTATTGTTCTTGTGTGTACGTTAACAAATTTTCTTTATTCATCTATACATACATTTACTATACATACATTTTCATCTAGTGTATGTAAAGTAGAAGAATAAAGAAGATTTGTTAACGTACACATATGATCTCATCTGTGTACTAGCTCTTAGTTTCCTAGTTTTTTCGTAAAATTATATTTAGAACAAAAAATAGTTCTGTGAACTACTCACACAATGCTTCAAAATTTTCTGCATTTTCAAAAATATCTTAATTAGTATAAAAATTTTGAGAAAAATAAATAAGAGATATATATCCCTTCAGTCAACTTTGGAAATGTTTTTCTATATTTTTTATATTTTTCGAGATATTATTGTATATTATGCATGTATACAGAAATTACATAATCGTATGTATAGATCTGATTGTATAATCGCAATTTAAAAACAATTATTATTTTTATAGGATTTTGTTGATTGGATTCACAATGACAAAATTGATATCTTTACAACAAATTGTTGGGATATCAAAAAATGTGATCGGCTCTCTATCCTGGTAGAATTAAGTATTATATTTGCAGTGAATAATCTAATAGAGTACTTAATCTATAAAATAGAAGAAAAATTATATTTTATGCCACCAGAATATGTAATTTATGGTTATTATCACAAGAATTGAGTTTAAATATCCTCCAAGATATTTCATTGGCATTTTGCTTAGATCGTTTCGATGATCTACCACTTAATTCAATTTATGAGCTATCGAAAGAAAATTTTCTTAAATTAATTGGGAATATCAATATAACATCCACGAAATCTTATTTACTTAAAATCACAAATAAATGGATGGCCCACCATAATGTAAGTACAAGCATATTATTTACAAAAGTAAAATTTTAAAAATTAAAATGATATAATCTCCTAAATAAGCGAAATGCCATGCTTAAGTTTCTCTTTGAGCAGCAGATCGTTTCGGATAAAATATGTTTTTAGGTGCAAAAAAAAGATCGATTTCCAAAAATTTAGGGATATTTGGGTTTTTAAAAAAAGAATTTGTGATCAAAATTAAAAAATTTTAAATAACTGATGCAATATGTCGGACTAAAAATTCTGCTATTGAAGTTTTTACGTAGAATTTAAAGAATGACAAAATAACTTTTCAAAAACGTTTTTTATTTTTAATATGGATATTTATGTGGAAAAGAAATATGTCCTCTAGGTATCATATACCTTTCTATATTTGTATTTTTGTATAAATATTTATTTACATTTCCAACAATTCTCATTCCAACAATTTTAATTCATATTAAAGATTAAGTACTTTAAAGATATTAGGACTTATACTTTTACATTTATACAATACATAATAAGTGTACAATGGCTTTGATATGCACTCAGAGTGCACTAATGCAACCAAGAGAGAACATTATTATATTAATCATCGAATTATATTGTAGAATTATATGTTAACAAGTTAAACAGTAGATTTGTTTAATTATATTATTTTATTTTTAAAAATATATATTATTATATTCATAATGCAATTCGATATGGAGTATTTTTCATTTTTTGCTGACACAAGTCGATACAAATATCGTTATATATTTATTACTTAATGAACAATCAACAAAGATAAAAAAATAAACGATGTTAGATGCATATAAGGACTATGAGCTAAGGTGAATGTTGATTGCTAAGGATTCATTCTTCCTTACATATATAAATATAACCATAATTTCTTTTTCTGGGTTATTCTTAATATAGAAACTAAAATTAATTACAATAAAACAATTGCAAATTAAATTAAACAATAAAAAGAGAAAATATTTTTACAATTATTCTTTCGCGTGTCTTATAAGAAAATCCCAATCAATATACGCTGCTAACAATTTTTCAACAGAATACAATAATTCTTGTCAAAACAAAATGATTTGTATACACAGTATTATTGGATGTAATCATATTTCGTGAATCAAATGATCGGAAAGTATGAAAACCATCTTGACTATTAAGAATAACTCTCGAGAATATAACTATACATAGCACATAAGAATAAAAATTATAAAAACAAAAAATATAAAACGGTAATTATATGTATTATAAGTAATATATTAAAAATCAATTATTTAAGTTTAATAATATAATATAATTACAAATAACATAATGATAAAAAGGATATTTGTAATAACTTGCCAAATGGAAAGCACTCAACGTAACCCATTAGGCACTAAACAATCACGAACAGAAAAGATAATGTTTGTCGAACGTCTATGATATCATGGTACGCAAGACATAGTCATGATATTGCATTCTTTCGATTTAACATTTGACGTATGCACAGAACCACTGTACATTAGGAACTAATTTTTCATAAGTGCTAAGGAGTTCGCAGTGTGTGTGTGTGTATATATATATATATATATATACAGAATCTGTGGAATAATAACAACATGAAAACATGATATATCATAAATTTTATAATTTCCAAATAGAACTAAGGATAAAATTTTAATTATCAGATTTTAAATTTGTTTATATTAGCATCGAAAAATGAACAAATAAAGGACTAAATTCTGATTGGCTGTAGCAATAAATATATGCAAAAACACACTGTGTCTATTTACATTATATTATATTTTTGTATGTGTGTGCGTGCGTGTATTATAATTCTGTTCTAAGAATAATAAAATTTATTCCTAACCACTTAGAATTTTATGTAATAAAACTAATTTTTTTTTCAGGATTTTACAATTGCTTTAGATATTTTAAAGAATAAGGAAACAAAAATATTACATAGTATTATATCTTGTGAAAACAGAGATTCTGATAACACTGAAAAATTTATTCATTGTTGGGATGGTAATGATTTTTTTGAACTTACCTCATTTAAATATCCTGAAGATATTGTTAATTGTTGTACTGATAAATATAAATTAGAAGGGATGCAGATTATTGGAAGAAGTATGTAGCCTTTTTTTGACTTTATTCTATTTTATCTAAATAATACCTTATCTTATCTTATTCATTTAATATTTTATATAATTTATTTAGGGTACAATTTTTATCTCTGTGGTGGAGAATTTGGAGACACAGGTATATTTAACAAAAATGTATGGCGTTATTCCTTGATAACTAAAAAAATGGTTCCTTGAGACTATGTAAATATCTTAATGCATTCTTAAATAAATGATAAGTAATACAATAAATATAGTATGTTATTTGTTAAAATAATTTCTACACATGTTTTAGTATGCCAACTGAAAGAAGGAATATGACTGCTGCGTTTGTGAAAAACAAATTAATTCTTGTGGGCGGTTTGGGACATGAAATCAAATCTAGTGTTGATATTTACGATATTTATACAGATGATTTTATTATATACTTATACAATATGCATTTTATTAATACAATATGAAAAAATATAGGTAGAGATTTACTAGACTTTATGTCATAATTCTCTAAGAATATTATTATGTATATTTTTTTAGATTAATCATAGAATTGCTTTTATAATTATTTATTAACGTAGCCTTAAATTTGTCTGTCATTAAATAAAATAATAGTATTTTTTTGTTAATTTTTGCTTTTATTTAAATATTACATAAATGTATAGTTGGGTGCGAAAGTATTTTTGAATTCTATCTTGCTCTTTATTATACTAGAGTGAGCAAATTCTTTTTATGCAAATGTAAAATGGGCGACTGTGCAAGAGACACTTGTGTGAATTGAAGATGTCTACCTTTTTTTTTTAATGTAGTATATTATAGACAAACAGACATCTCAACTAGGTATCACTCTCGCACAATCGATCGCCCTTCAAAGCTAGTTCCAGTATATAGAATTCACTGGATTTTATTAATGTTCCTAAAGATTTTTCTTTTAATTGCGCAGGCTCGTGGACATCGGGTGCAGAGGCACCTTGCAATTTCTATTCTTCTACTTTCTATTCCGTTTTGGATGAAAAATTAATCATATGTAAAAAATTCTTGGCGACTTATACACCTTGTAATACTAAAACACTAAGATATAACTCTAAAAATGATTATGAATCTTACGGTAAGTAAAATGTTAGCAGAATGTTGGCAGACTGACAGAATTGATAAGAGCATGTCAGCAGATCGAAAAAATTTGTTTACATAAATCATTAGATTGACGGCAAAAACTAAGCAACATCTGTGCAATCAGATAGCAGATTGACAGCAGAAATTAAGCTAAATAGAATGCGATTAGATGATTGTTTAAATTGAAATTATTGGTAAAGGAAGGTTGGAAATTATGGAATATATTATTTTGTCTTATTGAAATAATAGCGAAAGGAAATCTCTCACTACATTAAGCTCTCACATTCTACCGCTCGACTGCATTTGGAGATAAGCCAAGCGGATACCCGATGCTTATTTGGCAATCTCTAAAAATTAATATTTCATTGATTGTTATGAAAATTGAAAAATGTTACAGGATTTTTCAACTCACAAAGGATCAAGTATCTCTCTCCGAGTTTTTAATATATGTTTTATAAAAATAAGGACTACGTTAAATTTATATATTCACCATACGAATAAAACTTTATAATATCGATGTAAAACTCCTTCTATAATCGAAAAGCAAGAAATATTTATTTATTTATCCATTTACGGTAACATAAATTCTGCTTTCTGTGGACAATGTGACGACAACACTGCGTACGACTTATCTATTTCGATTTTGTCAATCTACCATCAGGTTATATCAGCAAATTTTATCAAATTTCTAATAACAATTTGTCGATATCGTTAAATATTATATTAAGATTCTATATATATTTATTGTCTTTCTGCTATGAAAAATATTGATCTGACTTTGTTTAAAATCTGTTTAGGTTTAAAATGCAAGATACATATCTATTTTTCAAATATAAATGTATGGAAGGTGATATCACGGATGGATAAGAGTTATTTAAACTTTAATTCCGACGTTTATACAACAATATTGTTTAAAACTGCACCATGTTATATTGGTAAGTATTATAATTTATGTAGTACATAGATGTAAAAAAACTTAAATTTTACATTAGTATTTTGTAGATATTGTGAATAAAAATAAAAAGAGTTTTTAAGAGTTGCCAACGATTTATGCAATAAAAAAAAATGTAGTCACATAATGAAATACAATAGTCGGATCGAATTTAAATTATCATCATCTTACAATAAACAAGATTCAATTCTAGACCTCTTAAAAAAAATGAATTGCGATGCATATTTTTACAAATACAACTATGACGATAACTATGACGAAGTTATAGTGTATCTTGATTTGGCAGAATTATGTTATAAGAATACGTTACATTTGCATAGTATTCCTATAAAAAATATAAATAAATTTCAATCATGTCTTCATCAATTCAATAGATTTTTTAATATAATTCATCCAGATCATTTACACGCGACAAATTTGAATTATATTTAACTTATGTAAATCTTTATTAATTAAATATTTAGAGAGTCAATGTATTTATGAGAGCGAAAAAGAAAAAAGAGAAATTCTCTTGAAAAAATATTTGTAATTATAAAATATTTATTATACAGACATTTCAAGACAAGTATATATAATTATATATTTTATATTATATATTTATATTAGATATTTTAAAATA